CTCTTGTATATAAATATCACAGTAATAGGAATATGTTTCATTAAAGTCTGTCTGATGAGTGCGTAAGCACGAAACTCGGAGTTACAGTGAACATGTCTCGTCTTTAATCCAATCTTTAATATATATATATATATATATGATATTGCATATAACCACTATGATAAATCGTATATTAGTGTTACTATTATTGTTGAAGAAGTTGAGCATTATGTGAGCCATGCATCATGTATCATGGTCATAACAAGTGAAAGTATTCTACAGACCACATAGATTATTATGACGAGATGCTAGTTTCAAGCCTATTGGCTCTCTATTCAACAGAAATCCTCCAGCAGTGTCATTTCATGTGGCGCATGCTCGCCTGCTATCTCTATAAATCAAGTGTATACCAGGTTTAAAATAGCATTACATCATACATGCTCGTAGCTGGAATTTAGATAAGATTAATCGATGATTATAAGGATGCGCACCAACTAATATAGTGGCCTGGTAATTACATAACTACACCCCAACCCCACCCCTCACTGTCGATAACCTGAATAGCTTAGAGAAAACTTTTATTTATAAGTTACTAAGTGGTCAGGAGCAGGTCAAATGATCGGTTAGAACGAGTATTGCATGGTTGAATAAGGTCGATAATGAATGCTGAGGGTCGATCAAAGACTAATAGCGCTCGCCCTTATTCAACTATTAGCATCGATGTGAGTTGTCTACAGATTGAGTTTTATTCTTCCGCAAAACGATCCCGTCAGTATCTGCTGCGCTAAATTCAATCCTTTTGACAGATAAAAAACCTCCTTAAACATCCAATCATTAATTTTGGTGCATTTTATAACACGACTTTATTGAGTAAAAAAAAAAAAGAAATTTCAGTTGCGCATTTTGATATATTTGTATCTGTTGTCAGCCATCCGCGATAATCAACCAGCCTGTTTACTGATATTACCTAAACCACAATATCATATCCGACCAGCTTAGTTTTGCCTTAGCTTGCTCACACATTGATGTCTAAATTAATTATCGATAACTAGACATATGCTGAGGTTTTTTCATTAGAATATTTTCTGGAATCCCCTGCCAAACCCATTTCGAACATCAATCTCATCTTTATTAAGCGCGTGTTTTTTTCTCGCGGTCGAGTCAAAAATAATCAAAAACCGCGTTCTTTGTGATAAATATTGACATTCACCTACTGTGCAGTAAATATTGGGTTCAAATTAATAACAATTTTTGTAAAGTTGTTTGAAATCGCCGGTCTCATCTCAGACGAAGCATTGTAAGAAAATACTAGACCTTTATCAAAATATTTAGTTTGTTATTTGATTCGATTGTTCGAGATCTTACCCGCGGATCTTTCTCATTGGGTAGCGTTTTGATTAAATGGTATTCACAAAGGAATCGAGCTCAGCTGCGACTGGTGTTTGTCTTCTAATAAAAACATACGTAGTTGTTTTATATATTTTACTGCTGAGCTCAAAATGTTCTCTTAGCAGGACGCTGACTGCTCTGACTGCGCTATGAACGTGGTGGGGATTACTAAAGATTGTTTGTACTACGAGCACCAGCTACTCATAAAAGTGAATGCTAACAAGCCACATTATTTGTTACACAGGATATGAAAGCTATTAAATGAATCTCCTAACATCAAACAATAAGGACTATGCAACGCAAATCTCTCTTACTCTCTTTCGTTCACTTTGTTTTGTTTTCTCTCGTATTCATTTATTTTAATTGTTTTTTTTCTTTTTGTTCGATAAAAACCTGCCTTTTTATTCATAGTCACATGTTCATTGTTATAAATTATTGCTACTGTTTCGACTTAGAAAAGCACTATTCTATTTTATGAACACGCGTTACACGACAAATATGTGCTTTATCTATTCGACCTTTTTAGCTCTTTTTGGTTCGCACGCTTGTCTTGTCTTTGGTCAGTCCAAATGATTTCAATATCATGTCTCTAATCAATAATGTCATAATACGACGAACGGTCATCGGAATTGAATGACGATAATACCAAGACTACGTGTAGTCTTCTAGGAATACGTATGTTATACAACCATTATCCTATTTGTCTGTATTCCTTTGGTGGCCCAATGATTCACCGTGCTATACGTTTATATACAGGCTATGCCTCAAGAGCTTTCTATGATGAGACAGTAAAGGCTTATGGAGTTATTCTTGTATACTAATCATTCAGTTGTTGACTTTCTCAAACGTCCACTGCCCTCTCAATACCTCGGTTAGACTTTTAAAAGCGGTTTTAAGCACGTTCATAATAATTTCATATAACTCTTTATTTTCCATCAAAAACTACATGGGATTTTCAGATATGGAGTGTACGTATGAGAAATGATTTAAATCGAATTAAATCGCTTTATTTTCGGCCATAACTGTTGTATTTTGAACCTCTATATACACAGTATACTTCGTGTAAGTCCAACTGGTACCACGCTAGGTCAAATTTAACAAGTTTAGAGAACAATAGGTTAAGCGTTGTGCATACAACACAAACCCCATGTTAGACTGGTCAATTCGTAGACGACTCAAGATGTCACTATGACAACGAGTAAATTGAATTGATTGAATGACGTCATACGAAGAGCATCCAAAGTCGGTGAATTTAAAACGACCTGTACATGCCAATAATTTTGGATGTTGGTTTTACACAATTGATTCACGCATTTGTTTAATAAAGCAATTTATCCGAGCTCTAAAATACAATTGTTTACATTAGTGCTTTGAGTGACACGACGAGCCAAGCACCCGTAACGCCGCTGGAAATGAGTTTAACTGGTGATTTTCCAATTTCTTGTCTTCACTCATCTACATTGTGTCTTGAACAAACTTTGTCGAATTTGCTTCCGATTTGTTTGAATCATTCATAGCTTCCTTTTCGTAAAGCTTGGAATTCTTCGTTAGTACGTACGGTTTGTTTGTACTCTTGAAGGATTCGTAAGTATTTTATTGAACGTGTGGGATCTCAAAGTGTGAAGATGTAAACATTATACTCCAAACTGTGTACCTTTTTGGAGTAAACTGCCATTTCATTTTGAATTCGGTTTGTGAAATTCGCCTTCTGCTTCTGCGGTAGTGAAGTGACAAGAATCAAAGAGTGACTTTTTCAATTAAGTTAAGTAAATATTAAGGGATTGTTTGTATTAGCAGTAAAGGTAATAGACGCCTTAAGTCAAGTGTTACGGTAAAGTGTTGTTTTCTCTAGAACTTAACAGTTGGTTTGTTTTGTTTTAACTTTCATAAAAACAATCCAGTCTAAAATTGCACTGGCTTCTTGTTATTCTGTTCCTCGCATTATTAAAAATGTGGAATTAAACTGTCAAAGTATGGCGATGGTATCGCGTAAATGATGGTTAAATGAACCAATTGCTCCTAACATCTTAGCCGGTGATTTTGGGTCTTGCATCGGTTAAGTAATTTCGGTCTGTGTCGGCATACACCGCCTTTCTCGGTCATTACTTATGCCCAAAAGAGCCGAAGCCGTCGCTAATCAACCTTTATGAATATCTTTTACTACAGACACGTTAGGACTATGATGGCTAGATGGGAGGAGTAGAGTAAACACCTTCTAGTTTTGTATAACCAAGCCGCGTTCCAATATGTTTGACAAAACCTCAATTTGGAGATTAGAATATCAACAAAATCATCCATCAGCGCCGTTCAATAAGAAAACCTTCTCAGTTGGGGAAGTAAAAGGTAATAAACGTCAAAAAGTCCTGATCGTCCGGCAGGAAATTTGCCGCAACGTAAGAAAAGGCCTTGGAAGGAAAAAAGCGTAGGATAACAAGAAAAGGCTGATGCCAGGCTTTCCTGGGGTAACTCCAAAGTGAACAGTCACACCAAACAGCCTTGATAGCCCTGCTTCTAAACAATTAATAGCGATACAAACCCAATGCTTCTCTTTTTAATTAACCTTGTCAGGGACTGGTAAACAAAGAACGCTCTCTACAAAGCGGCCCGATAAAACAAAACGGATTTAGTGGTCCGTGTGACGAGATATTTATTAGTTAGCAGCGGCAATCAATTTTCAACAAATGTGTGGTTTTGGAGCGCGCGAGCGCGGACTAGTACCGGCTCCTTTGAATACCCCACCGGGCTACAGTACCGCAACAGCATTTGAATATTTTATTTAAACTGTCGTAAAGCGGCCTTTTGTTGGGACCCAAACTTCAATAAGGAAATTAACGAGTAATTTGGCTAAGTTTCGGTTTGATAGACATGTGATAATTAGGTATTCTGTATTTAATCGGCATCGACAGGCGGCCTCTTGTAATGTCAACACTGCTCTACAAGCCTACAATTCAAAGGCTCACTAGAAGCGGCTCCAGACAAAAGAAGTTTTTGAAGTCAGTCGGTCTGTTTTACAAGCGCTATTTAGTTCGATAGTTAAAATACACACGTTCGCAGACCCTTCAAAAGCTACCCAGCTGCTAAGAAGACTACACTCTAGAAGAAAAATCCACTAGTGCATTTAACGATCCGGGTAAGAGAATTCTGTTCCTCTCAACATTATACTCCAGGATGCCAAGACCTTTGAGGAACAGTTACGGTAGTGCTAAGCCTCCTTACTCTTACATCTCGCTCACTGCAATGGCTATACAAAGTTCTCCACAGAAGATGCTGTCCTTATGTGAGATCTATCAGTTCATTATGGATCATTTTCCATTTTACAGAGAAAACACCCAAAGATGGCAAAACTCTTTGCGCCATAACTTATCGTTCAACGATTGTTTTGTGAAGATCCCTCGCCGTCCCGATCAGCCAGGCAAGGGAAGCCTTTGGGCTCTACACCCGGACTGTGGGACAATGTTCGAAAATGGTAGTTTCTTAAGACGCAGAAAACGCTTCAGATCACAGCGAGAAAGGACACATAAACTAGCAAGAATGATCTCTGCAGTTACAAGAGACGAGGACGATTCAACCATCAAAGACAGCAGCAAGTCGCCAGTGACTTCGTCTACAAGTGCGTCAACTTTTAAACACCCGTTTGCTATTGAAAACTTAATTGGAATTGATAGAGAGACTGTTCCATCATGCGGTACTGCAACAGCAGCACCTATTGCTTCCTTACCTACTTGTCCTACATGCATCAATACTCCAAACGCCAATGTACTATCGAATTATCAAAACAACTTATGGACTCCTGTTCCAAAATACTGCAACAAACCTTGTTCACACCACCAAACTGATCGCATCAAGGAACTTGATTGTATTATCAGTCCCTTCGCCGGCTACTCTAGGTTCACTCCTGAGTTGGCTTGTTTTGGGGAGATGATTCCTTTCTGTTCTCAAGTCAGTTCTAACGGGTTTGCGTCTCCCATGTTTCCATAACACGATGCTGCACATAGATATAGAACCATGTTGTGAAATTTGGGAAATCGCGTGATGAACACACTATAATGTCGTCAATCAGGACAGCCTATAAGTCCTAATTCTCGCCTCATTTGTGGTATAAGAAGGCGCGAAAACTACTCCAAATGAACATGTATTTCCACACCTCAAATGTCTTGGAATGATGGTGTATTCGAACGATTAACAACCAATTTCTTCTCATTATTCCATGCCAAGGTAATTGCCATGGAATTGATTTCTGTTGAACTAATAGCCCAGAGATTTGTTCTTGAAACATTTGGTGGGGAAAATCTCATCCCGATGTAAATAGTTTATTTTCTGTTCATGTTCCATAACTTGATGTCTGTATTACCCAAACAACCTGAAGTATTGGGTTTAGGACAATCACAAACTCATTGTAAATATAATGTCAAAGAACTATCCATGACTTTATATAGCTGACTGCACGTCTGTTATATACCCAGCAGTTTACATAAAGATCAAACATTAACAGTCCCCTAAAATACAGTGTTCCACAAATTTATCAAACACTGTTATATACAGAGATACTTATCAAATTGTATATCTCAACTCAAAGTTTATTTTTAAAAATATAGAAACATTTATGCAGTGAGGCGTTATAAGAGTCTACTGGTGATAGTTAGAAGTCGCGGTGAACCTTGTTGCCGACTCATGAGTATCACCGGTATTACGGGATTCGACTGCTTTTTCAAACGTTATATTTAGGGGATTTAAGAAGTATATATAGAGTTCTCAAAGCTGAGAGCTTGTATGGGTTTTAAGATCATCATTGTTGATTCAGCGCGTCAGTATTTGGATAGTGTTTGGCTTAGTGCTCGATGGTGCAGTAAGTGTTGGTTTTTGAAATGAGAACAGATGAATATAACCTTGAGGGAACGTTGTATTAAATATCATTGAAAGCATTACTTTGTATGTTTTACACACTAAAATATTCCGTCCCAAAGGTTTGAGATATACTGAGATCAAAGGTACTCGCGGCAAGCTACTTAATACTCAACAAGACAAGAAGTCGGTACGGGTATGTATATATATGTACGTATATATGCACCTCTATCAGGGTCATGTCGGTATATACGAGCAATCCCTTTTAGATATATTTTGTTTGTTCGAACTATTCACTGAAAGCTACCCGAAAAGCTCAGCTAAAAAACACTTAAGCGCATGATTTCTGACGACCTACGCCTGCGATTACAAGCAAAACTTGCCTTTCTCGCAACTCATTTTTTTCTCTTCATGGTTATTATGGCGTAGTGAAAATTCTGAAAATTTTGCGCTAAGAATTATAATTTCCAAAATGAAGTCATGTTTTTGATACCCAGAGTGATGTTGCTTTGACAACTAGTTTTTTCCTCTGTTGAATGTCTAGTAAAGTAATGATTAGCGCGAGCAAGACAACGGGCCGTTTGGCTCAACGTTTGACGGCCCCCTGCCTGAACATCTCGTTTGCTTGTGGCTTTGTTTGAATGATTTCATAAGTCCAGCAATCCACGTATCCGGCCTCATGCTATTCGGTACACTTATGCCGCTCACCATGCATATGCGATACTCGGATTAGAACACAGTTTCGGGGGATTTATCTATTGACATCTTCACTCCAATATCACTCCTTCAAGCGCTACATTCTCCTTATCCTCCGACAAAAGTCCTACACAAATGACTTTAGTTCACTACTCCATATCATTTTGCTGGAAAAAGAAGGTGTTTTCAGGTTAATTCTTAATTCATTTTCTTTCTTTTTATTGTTTTTTCTCGTAATTAATATCATAGAATTTATCTGCAGATAGCGGCCGACCAGTGGGAGACTATCAGCGCAAGGTTCGAGGTTCCTTTTATTGGTTTTTGGCTAGGATTACTACTTTGCCTCGTAGAAATTTATCAAGGAGAGTTTAAATCAAAGACACTTTTCAAAGAGACTTCAATGTTTTAGTTTGAAATTCGATTTGAAAAGCATTTGGTTCCTTGTGACCTGAGTGTATTTATTTACCATAAAACTAACTATTACTTAATCAATATTTATTTTTCCTTACAAACTGTATCCACCAAACTCATTTGATTCTTCAACAAATATTTAAAATCATTTCCCTTAGAGAAAAGTATCAAAAACTCTTCTTATAACAACAAAATAACTTGATTCTTGGCAACAAATCATTTGGTCTGCTTTTAAAGGGACATCTTTGTTATTTCAGTGATTATTTGTGTGTGTGAAAAACTTGGTAAATCTGTTAGAAAAGTGTCGCACTGTTTCTGTGCTCAGACTTCAAGGCTACAGTCTTGTACGTTTAACAAAACCCCTCGGCGTCTTGAAGTCTCAAAACGATGAGTGTTAAAGACCTGTCATAATAAATACGAACATATAGAGGATGTTGAAGGCCAGATTTCTTGTATACTGGAATCATATTTCTTTCTTTTGTTTGCGAGAAGTACGCTGTCAAAATATAGCTGTTTAAGAGAGTTTTTACTCAGAGACAAAGGTTTTATTGAGGCAGCATCACTGTTTTGTGAGGAAGCCACCTTTATCAAGACATACAATAACTTACATGGCTATAGCATTAAAAGGAATGAAAACCAGGCATGATTTTTGCTGTTTTAGTCGAGATTTCAGTGCGAAACAAGCGAGATAATACTCAAAGGTCCTCGTGCTTTAATGCTAAACTCATTTGCTTTTTTGCCATTAGTGGTATAATTTTGTTATTCGTAGGCTATAAAAACAGTGGGAAGTACAAGATATTCCATTTATCTTAAGGTATCCTGTGTCCTAGTTCGCTACAAGCAATTTGTAATGCACAGTTGTCCCGAAATTCTGTAGTATGCAATCATGAATCATACTTCATACTTCAAGAAGACTAGGAGTGATCCTGATGGTATTCGTTGTCTTGGACGTTTCTTTACATTTATCAATCAGTTTAAGAACCTTTAGGGACTTATTTTATTTAAATAAAAAGTTTAAGTCAAATGTTGCCAAACGTTCAACAGTTATTGAGAACGAAGACAACTCAGTATTTTCTGTGAAGTGTGTGTTTAATAAAGAAGCGCCACCCACACAACACGCTACTGCCTGCTAGCCTGCCTACTGTTAACTAAGCTATAGACGAGTTCCCACACAAGGTAGTGGGCTGTAGAACTTTACTATCTGTATTGCACAGGGAAAGTCAATTTTGTTATTCCGGCTACACTGAAACACTGCCTCCTGATCAGCAAACAACTTCAATGCTCTTGGGGAAGAGCACTCACTCAACTAATAGCAGATGCATTGCCTGCTTTGCACTGAAGGCACTGAAATGGTGGGGTTGACAAATCACAGTACGATCACTGCGGTTTTGTTGGGTTTTTACGAGTTGTTTGACTCGAGGCCAAATATAACCAACAAATCTTTGTTTGTTTGTATTCTGTTGTTCTTTGGGCTTAGAACATCAGGAACAACTGAAGACACACGCAACAGTGCCGACCACCGGATAGGTACATTAAATGGTTTCTTCCTCACAACTCGTGCCGTTTCACAAGATACATCTTCGAAATAACAAATCTAGTTTGGGCATTTGAGTACCAACACGTTAGTCAATATCGTAATCATCATTAAACAGCAGCTAAGATGACATTAATGTGTAAGTTTGGTAGCAAATCACTAAAATTATAGCAAACTTAATATCTTAAGATGTTTGAGCCCTGAGTTTCCGAGTATTGGATTTCTTTTCCCTTAGCTCATGACTAAAAATCTCAAACGTAAAGTCAATCCATTATGTGGGATTAGTGTTACAGCTTTGGGGTTTAATAAGACTACATCTTCATGATTACTTGACTCAATATTTTCATTTCGCATTGAACCATTCACTCGTTCGTATTCAGATGGAATCAATATTTGCTCATAGCCGGTCTGAGTCAATGGAATGTTCTCTATAGGGTCTACAAGATTATATTGTTGTCTACTTCAACCTTAAGATGTTTTGGCCAACTTACTAAAGAAAATAAGATTTGTTTTGGAATCTCAGCTCAATTAGATTTACTTCGTTTTGAATGCTATTTTCTTCATATCATCAAAACAGACTGTCACAGTTCTTTTACGTCAAGCCAAACACATTTCCAACAAATTGGCTTAAGGCTTGTTGAATCAGATGTTTGAATGGCGTACCTCAAAAACAGCCCTGGGCCTTTCATTCTGTGAATCAAATTTCAAGTTCGATTATTCTTTGCTGGTTTATGTTTAGTTTCTTAACTAAAAGTGCACAATTCGAGCGGAACTGATCACGAGAATTGTGGTTTAGTGGCTTCTTTGATCAACTACCGCTATTTTCTTTCTTTACCCAGTGACTCAAACAACTCACTTCGACAAAAGCATCAATATTCTTAGACGAAATAATTCCAATAAAAATATATCGTAAAAATACAATTTATTTAATCACAACACAATCTACCATCCGAAGGAAAGGCTAAATAGTGTGTTGACCTAATACTTGACTCCTTACAGTTGGGCAAATGAGACTTTCGCGCCACCTTAGCTCACAAGTACCTTTTCGTCTAAGTAATTCCTAACACAAAAGTTATTACAATTAGAAGAAAATAGCCATGCAAAGATGAGCTTATAGCGCGGCACTTCAGAAGCCAAATAGGCAATAAAGTCTTATCGTTGCCCAATTGCTTTATTAACTAGTTGCCGCTACCTTTGTGATCGTCAGCTTGGGGGCAAGGGAGGCACAAACTGAAAGAAATTCACCGCTACCAATTGATTATCGGCTGACAGAAAGATTACTTCCAACGAGTTCTGGAGCGAAAAATCTGTGTTCTCGTGATAGGTGACAGTGAGTAGGGTGTGTGATAGTGAATGCTGACCGGCCTGAACACTGTGGGTGGCAGTAAAGTAATGTAATAACGGTGCTACACAACCTTTAGCGGTGTGCCTTTGATGTCACCAACATCTCGACCGATTCCACTAATGTCAAACCTGACCAACCAGTAAATCGAAGGAATCCCGAGTTTATTGCTATAAATATATCGTGTGTGGAGCAATGGATCAACCGTCAAGCTCTATAATTAAACTTTCTAAACGCTACGGAACTCGTAGTCTTTCATCGGAAGCAAATGTTCCGTTATGCCATTGAAATTACGGCTAAGAAATTAAAAACCCCAACCAATAACCCGTACTTGTGAGAGGAATTCGAGTCTGCATTGATGGCTCGATAAATGAGGCCTTAAATCAATTGTTTACAAGCCTTCCAAGTTTTGCGGACATTCCGTGGAACTGTAAAGGCCTGGTCTTCAATGGAACAGAGTCGTGCCGACTCCACAAACCAACGCTGATTGTTAGTTGAGCCGGCCGCGTTTTGAAAGCCCTCACATTACTTGCCGCTTGTATTCACTTGCCGCTTGTATTCACTTGATGTTCTCCTACAAAGACATGGAAAAGAATAAAGTGAAAAACCCTTGATGGACCAACGCATTTGATGCGAACAAAGAAAGTACGATAAATGGATATATTGAAGCGATAGAAAATGGCCCCCTCAGACTATAAAACTCCAATGAGTTGAACTAGCGAACTGACCAAACTATCTTCTTCTTCACATGCACTTCTTTCCGCAAACCTGATTAAACGTTTATTATCTCTGTCATATTTTGTCTTCTAGAATTTCTTGAGATTTACCTGCTAATATTCATAGTTGTCAATCTCGCTTTTAAAATCCCACTAGGCGCACTAAGAATTAAATCAGAGCAATTGTACCGGCGGCAACCGGCTTGCACAAAAATACACGGCCCCAACACCTCGCCGAGACCCGTTTGATAACGAGAACTTGAAAAACACCATAACAAACAATATAATAACAAAAAACACGAATTCTAATCAGAGTATTGAATTAAATGATATAGTATTACGAATAATAAAATGACCACGGAACAGGAAAGTAATCACAAAAAAAAAATTGTTGTTGGAAAACCTCGGTCAGTTTTAGAAAACTCGTTTATCTTTGGTTCCAAACTAAATGTCGGTGGATATAAAGTTAAATATATCCAATCTTGGGGTTTTTGCCGTTATTTAATATTGAAATCAAGAGAACAAAACAAAGCAAACAAATTATTAGTCTAAAAACACAATCAAATATCGAATCCCGGCGAGTGAGTCTTTTCAAGAAGAAAGAAAACGCAGCGGTAACCTTACTGCGCGACACCAAAAGCTGAAATAAAATTAATAAATCTCGGGATTAGCACGTCTAGCTATTTACAAATACTTTATTCTTAATTATAAACACTACGTTTTTAGATACTTGATTCTTCGCTCTACTCGGAGTTAATGTTTTTCTTCAAAATCTCATTGATGAATTTGTCTATAATGTAACTTAATGTTTTCATAGATTGCATGAAAAACATTTCACTCTTCCTTAAGAAAAAGAAGCACTTTTAATGAATCTTAAATCTACAGAAGAAAGAACCCTTTCGAATCATTAATTAAAGTCAAAGAGTCCTCATCTGTTTGATTTGATTGATATAAAGTATAATTTGTCAGTAGCCAAGATGTTTAATGATAGCCTAAAACCTCAGATCGCGTCTGACCGTAATAGCTTTCTTCGTGGTTTAAGGAGTTCATATCGAGAGGTTTTACTCTCTAAAAGTCGCATCGCTTGAGGCATTCATTAGAAGAAGTTAATGGTTAGTTTTAAGTTCAAAATTATCTGTAGATATTAAAGACGAAAAGCCATCACGGTCTTTCCACTCCAGGTGTAGAGGCAAGTTGATTCGTTTTTTTCCTAACACGTGCGCTCTGTCACAAATACAAGAAGAATCGGCTTCACTGGTTTAGTTTTCGGCTGAATGACTGTCAGAATCGAGCCATTTGGTTATTTAATTAAAATAGACTATTAGGCACGAAGAGAGCCGCACAACAATACCCTGTCCATTGCCTTTTTGTGGATATGACGTTTTCGTGTTGTATTCATTTCCTAGATGCCGTCTATCAATAGCGCCGCTCTACGAACAGAATCGATAACTTCGGTAATATCCAACAGACTTCTTATTCTGTTAGGATGTTTAATTACTTTAGCAAACAGATTACTCCTTTTTTATGACACTAGGAATTAAAGAGTTGATTCTAATGTGTTTTGGGTGATGTTTGGTATTCTGGAGTCGGCCAGGAAACAACACGTTTATTGACTTGATCAACGGTGGATACGATGTTTTATGAGGCGCCCTCTTTTATCAGAAAAACCTGCACCTCCCACTAGTAATTAGAATGTAGATCCCGTCTGAGTTCTCGTAAACCACGACCAGTGAGTAACCAGTAGCAAAAGCCCCCTTCCCTTCTTAGCCGCGTTGGTTCGCGCAGCTACCAGACTTTTAGGCTGTTCAATCAAAAATCCGATATTTTAGTTATTTTTGGACATGTTTAGCACCTTATCTCTTTTCGCTGTTAACTGTCGTATTTGCTTAACTGAATGTCGAATCGCTTCTATTCAGCCGTCGGGACCGATTGACTCGAGCGCGCCGAACCATTAATGACATCTGTAGCAGGACACATCCTTTGATGCGTCCGTTCGGTAAACAGTAACACCGACCAAGACATGGTCTGGACTCACTGATGGACCCTAGTGCTCTACTTGTGAATCTGAACAGCCTTGATGTCATGTAGTTCGTTGTTGTCGTGGTTTGGCTGATCATAATTGTTGATTATAGAGATCAAATCGAGGCCTATAATTATCTTGATACGCGTGACTTCAAACGTGTTTACAATAAAGATGTGTGTGTTTGTGCATCCACCATGACCATTCCCTTTTCTCTTAACCATGGATGATAAGGACTCATTTTAATAGCCTGTTCTGTAGGTTGCCCGCATAATTTTGATGCGGATCATACATAGCGGCATTTGTGATTCGAGATTTTATGTTTTTTCAGAGAAGTGGTATACGTCGTTGCTAGGTTACAGCAAACTAACCACGTGATTTGCATCTGGATGCGGTTTCCAACAATACAAGGCAAATATAGATCTTACGATTTGTAGAAAAATGGTAAACGTCGTTGCTAGGTTACAAGAAACTGGTCGTGTGAATTCAAATTTGGTGACATTCTGCGCATGCGTCAAAACCTAAACTAATTTATTGTAAGTAATAATCACAGGTAGCCCGAGCTTGGTTTCTGTGGTGTCATGTTACAAGGAAATGTATGGGGATTCATCAAAAATTTCAATAAAATCATTGAAACGTGAAATAAAGCCTCGAAATTTTACCCGATCATTGAGAAATAGCACTTCTTTCGCTCTGTGTGGTTATTTTTTGAATTTGAGCCCGTTTTAAGGATTTTTTCCCCCACCAGTAATTTTTACTGTGTTGAAATGCTCATTTTAATTTACCAAACGTTTCGAGCTTCTCAATGTTTTCTTTATATATACCCTTATAAAGAAAGGGATTGAAGTGTCCTACTTTGTTGAGTCTCTTTAACCTGCCTTCGGTGTTCGATCCGGCTTTCTTTGCGCATGACAGGAAGCAGGACCTCCTAATATTTGAGGTAAACCAACCTGAACTCAATGTGCAGCGAAAAAAAAGAGTTGTTTTCTTGTTTGTGGATATCAGTTTCAACCCTTCGTGTATCTAGTTGGTATTCTAGATGATTCTCTCATAAATTTTCTTCGTTTAAACTGACTCCCCTCCACCACCCCCAAAGGAAGAATCTAGACCAATCACGTGATACAGCGTACGTGTATGACATCATCATAATCACCGCGACGTAATAGTCATAAATAGATATTTATTACGATATTCTAGGTATTAGACTATATTATCGAGTCATTCAGATGACTGGGATATTTTGTTGTAAAAAAACTTTATCTGTATAAATGACTGATTTTGCATAAAAAACGACACTATTTTAACGATCCCTAAGTCTACCATGACATGCACGATCTGTGACTCTGGGTTTTACAGTCCCTTGACAAGACTACAGATTGAGCAGTTAAATTGCGTGACTGGTAGCAGTCAAATTGCGTGACTGGTTTGTGTTCTATATCCCCGCGGGCGACTCATTGTTAAGTGCGCACCTTGGTTCGTTGTGGGTAGCAAGTCATTCAGTTATAACCCAGATCGCACAAGTCTCCTGTGTATCAATTCTACCTTGTTACCGCAGACCTTCGAGTACAGACATTTTTGGCTCTTTTTTATCTATTCCCTAAGAAGTAGCTTCATATTTTCAATCCATCAAAAACTTCAAGGAAACAGCTCAAAAATAAGAAATACTTCCGAGGAGCATTTTTGGAAGACTGACATTGACATATATAGTATATAGTAAAATATAAAGACTATCGCGTGACCTGTATAAAAGCAACTTTTATCCCCCTTTGAATGCGGACATCTTTTAACTTTCCTACCTATTGATAAATTCAGTTATAAATCTTTTTTTTTTCCAATTAAAAAGTAGTATATTTTACAAATGATACTTTTGTGCATCTTTTAACGTTTTTTAAAAGAAAGCCTTTAACTAGTTTGAAAGGTACTTGTTAAATTTTCACCCAATAATCAGTCTCTAGAGAACTAGTTTTAAAACGATTTTCTACCATTGTTTACAGCCTGGCAGAACCGGCAAAATAATCTCTTTCTGTCTCTTCTATTAGATGTTTTTAGTAGTAGTAACGGGCCGTGTGATTGTCCGCCATGTTGGATGACATAACTTAAAAGTATATAAAAGCTTGTAGTGTATTCAAGTACACATATTAGTACATATTGCTCGATCTAGCGTTCAAATATTTTAATGTCCATGTCCTCCAACATGGCGGCCATCGTGGTGTACTGGAGTTGTTGTTTACTGCGTGATATTTATATATTTATTGTCTATTTTTAGCACTGTTTGTAAACTAATGTCGCCAGGCTACCAATGCCAACTGTGGCCAATACGATCCCAGTCCACCAGTTCGATTTGTTACGTGTTGAAGGGTCTTGGAAGCACTTATCGAACGAGTCCTACAAGGTAAAAGCAATACATTATTGATATTACTAATGATAGAGAAATAAGGTACTTTTTCATATCAGAAATGATGTTCAAATAGGACACTTGGATTATGGCGTCAGTACTACCACTACCAGAATCCCTTGCACACTTTCTTTTGTTCAGTTAATAAGCATGCACCAATCGTCTACTATTCTCATGAGGGAATACAAATTTAAAATTCAAACTGGTCAGAGCTGTGCTCCGGGTTCATAAATGACTGTATAGCGGCTGCCAGAGGTGGCTTCACCCGTTTTTAGTTCAACCTTGAGCCGCGCCACTGCTATACTTGCGGTCGACCTTCCTGGGAGAGCCGGCAGCGTTTACTCAGTAAATAAATCTTGAACACGCAATTAAAAAGACTTAACTGTACTCTTAATTTAATTACGCAATTCGTGAGATTCGTATGATTAAATGTTAATCATTCCTTATCGAATCCAGAAAAACACGATATCCGAAATATCAAGGCTAAAACCATAGCAGAAACCAAATGTAGAAACCAAGACTTCAGTGCGCAATACACCCAAACTTGCGTCTTCGAGCGCATTTTTTTCATCATTTACATTAAACATGATACCCTGTCTCTTACTAAAAATTAGAAGAAATTAGAATTAGTAG